GGAATCTTGGTGGTGGAATAAAGAGGTAAAAACAAAGGTGAAGGCTAAGAAGGAATGTTGTAAAGCCTTATACAAGGATATGACCAATGAAAATGGTGAAATGTATAGAATAGCGAAGCAGGAGGCAAAGAAAGCCATGAGAGAAGTTAAGCTAGCGGCTTATGACGATATGTATAAGGGATTAGATACCAAAGAATGAGAGTTAGATATCTATAAACTAGCTAGAGCAAGGGAAAAGAAGACAAGAGACCTAAACCAAGTGAGGTGCATCAATGATGAGGATGGAAATGTTCTTACTACATAGAACGCAGTCAAAGACATATGGAGAGGTTATTTTCATAATCTTTTCAATGAAGGACATGAAATGAGTACTTCTTTAGGGGAATTGAGTAACTCAGAATAGTGTAGAAACTACTAATTTTACCGTCGAATCAAGAAAGAAGAAGTGGTTGTAGCTTTGAAAAAGATGAAGCATAGAAAAGCATTGGGCCTAAATGATATACCGATCGAAGTGTGGAAAGTCTTGGGAGAGAGACATGTATAACATGGGTCACAGACTTTTTCAATAGGATTTTGAAAACGAAGAAGATGCCAAATGAGTGGCGAAAGAGCACTTTGGTGCCTATCTACAAGAATAAGGGCGACGTAAAAAATTGCATGAACTATAGGGGTATTAAGTTAATGAGTCATACAATGAAGCTTTGGGAAATAGTCATTGAGCATAGGTTGAGGCAAGAGACACTGGTTTCGGACAACCAATTCGGGTTCATGCCAGGGCGCGCTCAACTATGGAGGCAATCTATCTCTTACGAAGATTGATGGAAAGATATAGAGATAGAAAAAAAGATTTACACATGGTCTTTATAGATTTGGAAAAAACGTATGATAGGGTCCCAAGAGACATTCTTTGGAGGATTTTACAGAATAAATGAGTATGAGTAGCATATATCCAAGCTATAAAAGATATGTATGATGGAGCAAAGGCTGCCGTAAGAACTCATGAAGGACAAACTGAAAGCTTCCCCATAACTGTAGAGTTACATCAAGGCTCATCCTTAAGTCTTTATCTTTTTGGATTGGTAAATGATGAGTTAACGGGACATATTCAAGATGATATTCCTTGGTGTATGCTTTTCGCAGACGATATAATGTTGATAGATGAAACTTAGGAATGGGTAAATATGAAGCTTAACCTTTAGAGAGAAGTGTTGGAATCTAAAAGTCTTCGCCTAAGTCGATCAAAGACAGAATATATGGAGTGCAAGTTCAGTGCAAATGGAGGCCCAAATAAGTTAGAGGTGAGGATCGGAGATCAGGAAGTACCAAAGAGCGACCGCTTTCACTACCTAGGATCTATCTTGGAAAAAAAAAGGAGAATTAGATGAAGACCTCTGTTTGTACCATACTTGACTAATCCCGAAACTACTGAGCACCGGTCAACGTTATACCGTCAAGGACCCAGAAGAGTTTCCCTTCAACCAGAAGGCCAATCACAATGCGACACGTGTCGACATCAGAAGCCATCACACACGCCAACATGGATGTCAATGGTTAAGGGATACCAAGAACTTACGCGTTACTTCCATCTATTATGCTATGTTAGAAGCCTCTAAAAAATCTAGGTACAATAAACACATACTGAAACGGATGAGAATAATCAATTTTTTGTACCGTTCAATGTCACTTGGACGCTTAAACATAAAGAGGTTTTTAGAAGTGCTATTTAGGCCGTAATAGCAGTCGATGGATGTTTTTAAAGGGTAAATAATCTTGGATCTATTTGTTGCCACACTGATGGGGGCGTTGAGATTTACAGATTTAATTGAAAGAACAACTGAAAATCAATTTAGGTTGCCAGGGAATTGTTATGGCACTCCAAAATTCTCATTCTAAACACTCCAAACTTTCTATATTTAAAAAGAAAAATACATTTGTGAGTAGTGTAAGAATGAGATTTTTGGAGTGCTAGTAACACTTCCCTAGACAAATATACCCTCTAAGCATTCGGAGTTGGAGATTCAGAGAATGATGATTAGGAATTGTTTTTGACAATATTAAGGGATGCAATTGAGGAAAAAAGATGACATATGGTTGTTCGTTTCTGATAAAGTAATTTCTCACATCAATTACGTGATGATATTGATGAACTAGTTTCGACAACTCTGTCAACTCTTTTTTCCCAATGTCGCATCATGGTGCATGCATAATTCTATAAGTCAAAACATTAAGGCACAATTATTAAGCATGAGAAGAGCACATAAACTGTTATTTTAAGCTGCTAAAGCATACAGAGTTCCTGATTTCATCGTCTCAATGACAAAAATATTAAAAGTCAACTATGAGATGGGTGATTATCTTAATTCAGCTGGATATGACAAAAAAATGGACTTGTGCGTATTTGATGGTAAAGCGCGTACGACAATCATGACAACAATATACTTACCTATGTAACGTTATTTATCTCAATTTTCCTTTGGATTATATGTGCTTCATATTTAATTTTCCACACCTTTGCATTATTAAGGGTGTTGTCCGTGTCCGAATTCTGTTTTGAAGTTATCATTGACTGGTAGTGAATCAAGAGACGGTTGTGTTCTTAGAAAGTGCAAAAAAGCATATTAGAAAAATTAGGTTTCTTTTGTCAATGGAAGATTGACATTGCTAAAACCATTTGCCCATCAGTCATTGAAATTCATTTAGTGCATTTAGAAAATTTAGGGTTTGCTTTACGATATAATTTTTTTTTCTTTTTTTGTGTTTTTATTTTTTTATTTTAGTCTGCAAATTGTTAATTAATTGTATCAACAATCTAGACAATATTAAATTAATTTTTTCAATGTGTATGTCACTTTCTTCTTTGCTTATTGTTTTGCTTATATTTTAGAAAAATATCTAGTAATGTGCAATCTGATGAACCCAGCTTTAACCGATCAGATGTTCACAAGGGTAAAAATATTGTACATGAATCAGACATGGAAGAACTGTGCAATTTAGATGGAGATATAGTTATAGGTCAATTGTCCGAGACTAAGGAGGATTTAAAAAAAATGTTGGGTATTGATGCTATGAAGAACAATTATGAATTCAAAGTGAAGATATCAAGCAAAGAAAGGTTTGGAGTTGGTTGTGCCGGTGATGAATGCAAGTGGAAACTATGTGCTTCTAAATTACGAAAATCACCATATTTCAAGGTTAGGAAATACGTTTATATTCACTCATGTTCATTAGACATTATCAATTGTCACCATCGATAGGCAAGTAGTTCTCTTATTGGTCAATGCATAAAGTCTAAGTATGAGGGTGTATCACGAGTACATAGACCATGTGACATCATAAAAGATATGTGGAAGGACATGGGTGTGGGTATAAGTTATGTGAAGGCTTGGAGTGTTAAGGAACATGCAATGGATTTGGTTAAGGGATTACCAAAGGAATCTTACGCGTTACTTCCATCTTATTTTGCTATGTTAGAAGCCAAAAATCTAGGTACAATAACACATACTGAAACGGATGAGAATAATCATTTTTTGTACCGTTTCATGTCACTTGGACCTTACATAAGAGGTTTTAGAAGTGCTATTAGGCCGGTAATAGCAGTCGATGGGATGTTTTTAAAGGGTAAATATCTTGGCATCTGTTTGTTGCCACATGCATGGACGACAATAAACAAAGGGAATTGTTATTGGCACTCCAAAATTCTCATTCTACACTCCAAACTTTCTATATTTAAAAAGAAAAATACATTTGTGAGTAGTGTAGAATGAGATTTTTGGAGTGCTAATAACACTTCCCTAGACAAATATACCCTCTAGCATTCGGAGTTGGAGATTCAGAGAATGATGCATTATGGAATTGGTTTTTGACAAAATTACGGGAGCAATTGAGGAAAAAGATGACATGGTGTTCGTTTCTGATAAACATGAAAGCATTCGACAACTCTGTCAACTCTTTTTCCCAATGTCCATCATGGTGCATGCATAATTCATATAAGTCAAAACATTAGGCACAATTTTAAGCATGAGAGAGCACATAAACTGTATTTTACAGCTGCTAAAGCATACAGAGTTCCTGAATTTCATCGTCTCATGACAAAAATATATAAAGTCAACTATGAGATGGGTGATTATCTTAATTCAGCTGGATATGAAAAATGGACTTGTGCGTACTTTGATGGAAAGCGGTACGACATCATGACAACAAATATTACTGAATGTCTCAATGCAATCACCAAAGATGCTTGAAAACTACCTATCACATGATTTCTTGAGTATTTTAGAATGAATATTCTGCATAAGTGGTTTTATGAGCATCAAACCAAGGCAGCCAAAATATACTACAAACTCCTTGGTCATTGCGTATGCAAAAGCTATATAATCAGTTTGTAATCAGACCGATTGGATAGTAACTGATGATGTGGGTGAAAGGACAATTACACAAAGAATATATGGTAGGTGCAAAGAAAAGAGGATCCCATCACGTGGAGAAGAAAAATCAACTCAAAAGTGTTCAAAATGTGGTTCAAATGACCATTATAAGCAAACTTATACGAATCCCATTCAACTTCATCCTACTTTATAGAACCCTTTTAAATTTACAGTTTAATGAATAAAATTTTATTTTCTATCATTTTATTGTTTATATTGGTTGTACAATTCTTTAAATTTGAGACAAGTAAAAGTTAATTTATTTTTATTTGTTCACTCTGGTATATTGCCTTCCTCATCAACTTCTTCATCTATTCCTGATTATCTTTACCACGGCTTGATGTATTGTTGCATCTTCCCTGTCAACTACTGGATTTCCAAAGGAAAACTCATTCAGTTACTAGTAGTAGAGAAAGCACTAGTTTTAGGTTTTGGCTCGAGAACTCTTCATCTAATAAGGTTTTGGTTTTTTAATTTATTAGGTTTAAAGTTTAAGGGCATTTGTGTCTATTTAAGTGATATTTTGAATATATTTAAAATTGTTATTTTTCAAGCTACAAATGGCATCGACTGATCTTGATAAATCCCAATTTTTGAGGAATTCACTACACAATCAATTGCTTTGTTCAGTGACTGATGTTCGAGCATTTGTTCTCTGTATGCGAAACATTTATAACTTAAAAATAACAGAAAGCTCGAACAAGCCATCACTGAATAAAAGTCGCTAGAGAACAGAGAATTAGAGCAGTAAAAGGCTAAAAGCTACCGGAATCACGAATCAACCGTTCGTTAGAAAATAAAGGGATTTTACTCGTCAAGGTTTGCAGATACACCAGATCACATAAACTAGACACTAGAAACTAGAAAGGTGCCATTCCTCGAAACTGCACCCAGAGGACTGCATCACCAGATGCAACGGTATGTAACATGAGACTCGGTAATATCACCAGTGCAAGTAACTTTCACTACCTGCCCCTTCTCAAGTCCATGGTACCGTGAAATTGCGTCTTTTCGTGAAAGTCGAGGAAGCTGCAGGAAGAACAGTTGATGAAATTAAAATTGCGCGAACATTACAGTTTAGTTACCAATCAGAAGCCAACCCATCTACATGAAATGTAATGGTAATATACAGTTTAATAAAATAAAATGCACCATTTGATAGACGAACACACCAAAGCACTTCCAATACAAATGGAGGCGCTTCTTACTGGGACCGTCCAACAGTAAATGAGAGAGAGAGACAGAGAGAGAGACAGAGAGGGTTTATAGGCAAAAGACCTCTGATGTATGTCTATAGGACCAAAAGAAGAGAGATCCGTGAATCACGAGGTTGGACGGTCAGGGTTTTCTAGATTGGGGTCAATAAGGCCAGTTCATTCTTTGAGTTTGCTCTGCATATTAGAGGTCTATAGGCACAAAGTCTTATCAGTTGCAATTTCAACATGTGATCTCAGCTGAATTTCCCAAATAGAGCAAAACAAATTAGAGAATCACATATTGAGCAACAATAAAATCAGGGAATTCCTTCAGTATGTGGCCATTAAAATACAATGAGCGCTTGAATGTCTTTACACGTAGTGAGTTTTGGTCCGTAAGTATAATAAAGTTTCAATGTAGTCATTTATGATTATACCAAAGCACTTCCAATAACATGGGTTTAATACTGATGACAAGGCATATAAATGGGGTCCAACCCAATTCACTCTCCAAACGATCCCTGCCAACCACTCACACATAAAATTCATAACACTCTTTTCCAACACCATATCAGAAGAAATTTCAAATGACAGAGGGAATACCACAGCAAAGTCAGATTAAGTAATTCAAATCTATTCAAGATTATTCAGTAATTAAGAAAAATATGAAGGATCTCCAGAGAAAGAAAATCAGAGTCTGGTTTTTCTTAACTTGAGTTAATAAACTAACCTGCTTTTCTTCTACGTTGTACTTCTTTAGGAGTTTTCCTTTCTCTTTGTCCGTCAGCACCTGATGCTTTGGCTTCAAGACATGCTTCGTGATGTTAACAAGCAAGTCGGTAATCTGCCAAACAAAGAAAGATATAGAAAATGAGAGGAGTGAGAAGGAGAACCTCTAAGTGAACGAACCATTAAAACTATTAGGCAGAAACACTTTACAGTTATCAGTAAGTGTTTCAGTATAAATGCTGTAAAAAATCATGTTGTGAAATGCTTTCCGAAAGCACCTAAAGAAACAACAAAAACACTACTGTAAGTACCTTGGTAAAAAATTAACCAAGGAATTAATTGAGGTCTTTAAGGATACAAAAACAAAAACATTCATATTAAAACGCAATCCACAGAGTCAAAATCTAAGAGGTTCTGTTTGGACTCATCATTGCAAAGTCCATCATTACAGTATTTTCAATTTCCTTAAGATGCATATATAACATTTCAAATTTTCCGAACTTGCAGTTGACCTCCCTAAATCGCATTTCCCACTACTCTTTTATGCCTAGATTATAAAGAAGCTTTATCAATGCATTTTGATCCTTAAAGGCTTAAAAGGCAATTAGTTCATCAATAGTAATGCCCTCTCCAATCATAATCCATCCATAAAGCTAGTCTAGAAAATCAGAAACGTAGTCAAATTTAATCGTCTTGTAGGACTTGTTATGTATAAAGGAATGAAATGAAAAACATAATTGACATTTGGAAACAAACCTGGAATATTTCAGTTTTAAACGGATAAAGTTCCAGAGTTTTTAGAGCTTGGTTTGTTACTTGGTTTTGGGTAATTAACATGAGCCCCGTCAAAGTGTCCTTATTAGCAATCTGAGAATGTAGCCCACGAATCACATTAACCTTCACGATACCAGGGCCACAGTAAATGACCAGCATCTGCAATTCAAAAACTAATCATAAATACCAATTGCTCATAAGTTATTACTACAATCACACACACCAAATTTCAAGTGAAGAGCACAGCAAATATATCAGTGCCACTGTTTATGCCTTTGTCTAGCATCCATGCATAAAATTAACATTTCAATTCGATGGTAAGTGGGTGAAAATCACATTGACCAAAGTGTAAGTGGAAGTGTGGAAGCAGCCGAGGTTAAGCAGTCATATCTGGTCTGAATAAAGTCTGCATGTAAATCAAACAAGCTTCTAAATATGAAATAAACACTGCAAACAACTGTAAAACCTCAATTCTAACATCAAGCAAAATCATACCCTTCAAAAATCCAACGTCTTTTTTTTTTTCACACGACTTTTGTAAAATCCTTAATCTTATATCATCTACTGTAATCTTGAAATGAAATTACACCATCGGTGGCCTGGTAAGAATCTGGTTACAACTAAGCATGCATGCATAGGTTGTATTGAGATTTAGCAAAAGCAGAAAAAGGTCATCGCACGGAAGAAGTCACAAGCACTGAATCAGCCTTGCTTCTTCTTTTAGGACCATAGACAAAAAATCTGAGACGTATTCATGAGTAGCGCAATCCTACACATATTGCTACACCCAATGGTAGCTCAAACCTTAAAATTGCCAAATTCGTAAACGTATAGATTTTGAAACTCGACACGAAATTAATCCAAGTGCAAGAATGAAGAAAAAGAAACTGCCCGGAACCCGAAAGTCTTGTTTCTTTGATTCTCTGTCAATCGATAAAGCACTTATACGACATGCAAAGTAAGATTTGCATCAACATTTGCTTTTATTGTCTTCACAAACAGAGACGGACAAAGTTCATAACAGTCACCAAAAAAACATACCATATAATTTGTGGAACAAAACACGTATTGCTAAAATCTTAAACCCTAAACCTCAAAATTTCCAAATTCGTAAGCACAAAGATTTCGATATCCGACACATAATACAAGTACCAGAAATTCCTCTTTCTTTGATTCTCAGTAAATAAAATAAAACAAATGCAAGGAAAAAAAAGCATAAATTGGTTACCCTGTCAGAAGGGTCGGTGCAATGAGTGGCGGAGAAGCGTAGGCGCTCGATATCGGGAGTGGGGCCGTGGAGGAAGCGGAAGTCTTGGAGAGAGAGGTCGATTTCGGAGGCGGGAACAGAATAGCCTCTGTCCCTCAGCGTCTCCAGCACCGTTCTCCGTGAGAGGTAGTATCTGTGGCTCTCTGCGCTACCATCGTCTATGTGGCTGGTCAGGCAAGGCCCCAGAATCTCCCCGTTGGTTTCCCCATTCGCCGGCTCTCCCTCCACGTCCATCTCTCTCTCTCTCTCTCTCTCTCTCTCTCCTGAGTCCTGACACCAGTGTCAGAGACTTTAACTCAACTGAGAAAAAGTAGACTCTCTTGCGTTTGGGGTTCTGGGAATGCTACTGTGTGGTTAACCCAGGGGATGGTACCATGCGTGTGTTTCTTTTTGTTTTGGGTAAAAGCATTTCCACGGTCCAACTGCCCGTGCAAGGCAAGGGCCAGGGCCTGAACATGCCTCCACCGGTCCAAGGCTGTCAGCCCCATTCTCTCTCTACTTGTCATGCTCTACTTGTCATGCTCTAATTGATTCTTAAATGTGAAATTTTTACTACGACGTAACACAACCGAACCGCATACAAATCTTTGTCGGCCAAAATGGGGACACCTTGAACTCAACTCTTGCAAGTTCCCGAAGTGGATAGATTCATCGAAGATAACTCACATCAATCATCTGGGCATGGCATATTAGATGCTGGGAAGCAGCCATTAAGTCCCACAATTTAAGGCCGGACAAAACAACAAGGAAGAAAAATGTTGGTCCCACCACGACGAGACTTGGTTTTAAAGCATAGCACCCAACAATCCAAGTGATTTCCAAAAAAATATGAGAAAATTACAACTTTCCAGTACCAAAAACAAACCCCAATACAACTCTCAAGTAGAAAGGAAATCCTAACTATGAATTTGTATTTAATATCAAACGACGGATCACAATTCCATTGATAAAAAAATCTACTCAGTATTCACAAAATAAACTTAGCAGCTCTGGATGTCCAGGCCATGCATCCAGAGTCCTTTCACCGTCATCTGCACTTGTACAGGAAAAAAGGAGTTGCTGTTATACAGAGTTGAAAGATCAAATGACCCAGTTACAGCAGGATCATTTCAACTTTATTATTAGGAAAGTGAAGAGGCATAATTGAAATCAGTTAATCAAGTATCTAAGCTATATGCATCAGTAAAATATGATACAGGCCGAATCGGGTCAATAACAAGATATTCGGGTTGCATCAACTTTAATATTTGGAGCCGAAAACCTGCCCTAAATAAAGTTGTATAGGGTACCAAAGTTACCCACGTTGTGACTCACTAGACAGAAGAAACAATGGCCAGTTACAATCTCAATTTCTATGGTAGCTAGGTACTTGGGATTTCTTTTGTATATGGGTACAGGCACTAGACTTACAAACAGCCTGCTTTCCAAAGAGATCATGTCTGCAGGATATGTGACAGAATTTCTAAATTCCACATATCTCCAAATAGATCATGTCTGCAGGATACAACACCCTTAGTAACCTATTAAAGACAACAAGAAACTCGCCAAAAATCAAATTTGATTTCGAGTTTTATCTTCAGGTAAAACAACCTAAACAATCACGGGTATTTGATTCTTTCCTGACTCACATACCTGTAGATGTTGCTTCTTTGAGTCTAGGTAAGTTAGCAGCACACATGCTAACCAATGAAGAACATGTAATTTCTTAAGTTAGTAAGACTTCTAATGATGCAAATCTAACCAAAACTCTACAAATCCCTCTTTCTTCTCCAACCAAAACTCTACAGTTTGTATCCAATTCAATCCACATTAAACCTCACATTTCGTCCCGGAAAAAGGTGATGAAGGTACTTTTCTTGTTTACCATTCACAGCAACCCTAAAGCCATGAGTTTGTCATTCTTGGAAACCCTAAACAACGAATCTTATGATCGGGCCCTAAGCAGATCACAAAGTGGATTGGCTGGCTTCAAATGGGATAACCATGAGTTCTTGCCTAGGGTGTGGTTTCTCCAGTTTGTGACATACCTCTTAATACTAATCATTAAATGGATTACAATCCGGGATTGTCCAATTGTACAAGTTTGGTCTATATGTTTGCAATTATGTTGAGAATCATCCCGTGCATTTCTCGTTCGTGTTTATTTGCATTTCATCAAATAACGAAAACTTAAATGGTGGATTGTTCTAGTGATTAGGACCTTCCTCTTCAACCCACTGCATCCGGCGTTCAAACCCTCCCCTCCCCATTAGTATAGCTTACAGTAGTAATATCGTTTGTAATAGAAAAAACTGATTACCCAGATTACCCAACAAACCCATCACGCAAAACAACGAGACAAAACTTGACAAACATAGTTACCCTTGCTATCCCAAATGGGTAGTGTGGAAATCAAGAAATCAACAAAATTTACGGATACGAGGAGATGGAGGAGGAGGAGGAGAACAAACCAGAGAGCTATGGTGCTTGGAGTGGTGCAGAATCAATCAGCCGACATGAAAAGGGCCAATATCTCCTGTTCTAAGGGAGCCGGCGACTTCATCGGCAACGGCCAAGCAAGACGAAACCCAGCCGGTGAGAGCCAACCACACCATCTTCGCCATCCAAACAGTCACGCCCCATGGCATTGCCATCTCTCTTCTGCTACAGTTGCCTTTGCATCTGAGAATCCAATCAATCCCCTCCCACCATTTGAGGCAAACTCAAGTCAAAGAAATCGGAAAGAGTTCATAACAAGGATTTTGTCCTTTCCTTTTTGTGTGAGCAAAATGTCTTGACTCCTAAAGTTCCAATTTTAACCTTCTATAAGAGAAGGTTTGAACCCAATACGCAATGCATTGAATAAGAAAACGCTAAACACCAAGGCATTCCAATACTTGCGTTGTAATTAAACCAACCAAAATATGACATTATATGTTATGCATAATTTTGCTTGTTTATATTCTTTTTCTATCATATTTCGGAATTTACTTTATACCGCATTACTGATCTTAGTATATTGTGAAGATGACCGTTTTACTTGATTCTTCTTTATTTCTTTGTTTTTTCAATCCAAATTGGAACACCATGATAACTAGAATCAAAACAAAAGATGAATAAGCGGAGAATAGAAATCAAAGTATAAGTGAGAGAAAATCTATGGAAATCGAACTCGCATCAGGGTCTATAGACATGAATACCTAAATCAAATTACTCATTGCAGACTCGATGGTTTGAGTAGATTTGTTTGCCCATGCAACAAGGTTTGACTCTCCATCATTGTAATTTAGGTTAGTTTAAAGTAGAAAATCGTTTTGTATAAAGTAGACATTGTTCCCACGTTCAGTAAATAGTATCAACTCTGAACCCGGAGTGGACGTCCGCACATCTCAGATTCACAATGTTGAAGCCTTGTTCAACTTCAAAATTAAGAGTCTTTCTAATTTATAGGATAGCGGTCCCTCAAAACTTCGGTTTTCTTTTCTGAACCAATATGAGCACCCTTAAATTCGATCAACAATGTATTGAGTTCATCAATCATTGACAATACATAACTTAACAAACCAGTACGACATACGTAATGTTTCGAACAAAAGAATAAACATTCATCGCCATAACAAATACAGGACAGCAAGTAGAATATACCCATTAACGAAACACAGAAACCCTTTAAACCGCCTCAATGAAAAATATGTCAATAACAATAACAAAATCCAAACCCTCTACGGGAATTTGACTTCACTTATTTCTAGTTATTTTGTCATTTCGGTGTCTGACATTCTGAGAAAAACGTGGTTCTCACATAACCAAGGGAAAACAGTACACTGAATTTGTTGAGACTCAAGCAAGCCAGACAGCTTATCACAATCCTTACAGCGAGTCAAGTATTTCGGTGATTCAAACACAGGAGGTGGAGCATCAAGCTTGTCAGACATCTGTTCTGTGAATCCGTGTACCTCAAGGGACTCTAGCTAAATGAAACCAGAGGCACAACCGGACTCAGAAATTGCACTTTATCACACATTTAAAAGCTTGTACGAAAAATAACAAAAACCGTCATTAGATTTACAGAAGGTGATTACATTAGACTAGAATATCGCACACCAATATATAGACCTAGTTCAGTAGCATCTTTAATCTATAGGCTATTGCTTTGTCATTATTGTTTAATTATAATTCTGATTAATTTAGTAATTTTCACATACGAAATAAAAAACCTTGCTGAATGAAAAATATAATTGAACAAATTCATTAAACTCATCTTCTACTAAGTACAAAAAGGATTTAAAAAATCAATGACAAACGGAAAGAAAAACTAAATCAGTATTCAGTAAGCAAGATAACTTACCTGGAGATGAGAGGATATGAGATGGTCTTGCTGCAGCCGGTATTGAGATGGCCAGAGATGACCTCCGGTTGCTGCTAGAGGATTGGCGGCAGGGGTAGAAGGGTGCAAGCTCAAAGATGAGGGCAGAATGTAATTATATGGGGCCACTGATGAAACAATGTGTCCCAACCATTGAACTTCAACAACTTAACCAACCATCAATAAGCTATTTGAGGGGGGTTTGATTCCATTTAATCCAGTCCAATCCCAATCTGATGGCCAAAGTTATCCTGCCCAAGAAAAAAGAAAAATACTGCTTCTGGTGCATTATCCATAAGCATTTTGCAATTCGTCCAATGCCAATCTCCTAGACCCAAGAAAAGTTGGGTAGCCAACAGTAACAAATCTTCCTCTACTGTCAATCTGATCAAATCTGCACATCACTTCTCAAATAGTATCTTTTGAACCGTCTGCTAATTGAGAAATTAATTTATGTTACTGAAAAACAAGCATCTACTATCAAGTCATTGTACGACATACCCAATCTTCTTCATTCTTTCATGAAGATTGCTAAGTAAAGAATATATAACCTTAGATTGACAATGAGACTCATCGCCAACCACAAACACATGCACCTTATTTCCAACTTCTATCCAACTGCACCCAGGTTGCTTCTTCAACCTCTTCTCTTTCAATTCCATTCTCATCTTTGCAGCTTCTCTCCATTTCCCAGATGAAGCATATATGTTACTCAACAACAAGTAACTGCCTGGATTCTCTGGCCCCTCCTCTAAAAGCTTCTCGGCAGCCAGCTTCCCGATATCTATGTTACCATGAACATTGCATCCAGCAGCAAGAGCCCCCCAAACAGATGCTGATAGCTTAGTTCCCAGCTTCTTAAGGACATCAAAAGCCTCCTTAAGCCTCCCTGCCCGACCACAGAGATCAACCAAGCATGTGTAATGATCTTCCCTCACTTCTATTGACCCATCTGTAAGAAGCTCATTAAAATATTTTATCCCCTCCTCCACCAAACCAGCATGACTGCATGCAGAAAGCAGCCCCACATAGGTAACATCATCAGGTTTGAATCCTAATTTCCGCATTTCATTAAACAAGTTAATCGCCTCAATGCCACATCCATGATGTGCATAGGCTGCGATCATACCATTCCATGAGACCACATCCCTATGAATGGTCAATCCATCTTCAAACATCTTCCTAGCAGTGACTAACTCCCCACATTTTGAATACATGTTTATGAGTGCGGATACCAAGAATGCACATTCCTGATGGACTGTTTTAGTTATCATCTGATGAATTTGTTGTCCCTCACTAAAACCAGCTAAGTTACTACAAGCACTTAAAACGCTCACAAAAGTTCCCTGATTAGGTTTCACTCCATTATCTGCCAGCATGTTTGAAAAAGTCATCAATGCTTTTTCATTTTCCCCATCTTGTACATACCCTGTGATCATTGTAGTCCAAGAGATGACGTTCTTCTGTGGCATTTTCACAAACAACTCCTCTGCCCTCTTTAAATCCCCATTATGAATAAAACCAGTGATCATTGTATTCCATGAAGGCATGTCCCTCTCTGGCATCCTCTCAAACAATTCAAGAGCCTCATCCAATCTCAAATTCTGGGTGTAGCCTGTAATCATTGCATTCCACGACACCACATTCCTTTTGGGCATCCTCTCAAAAAATTCTCGAGCTTCATCAATCATGCCATTTCTTGAAAATCCCGCAACCATTGCTGTCCAGGAAATAATATCCCTTTCGGGCATCAGTTTGAAAAGATACCTTGCCCCTTCAATCCTGCCACACTGTACCAAAGCGGTTAAAACTGTATTCCACGAAACCACATTCCTCTCTGGCATCCTCTTAAACAAGTCCAAAGCCCTATCCACCTGGCCATCCCGTGCATACCCATCAATCATGGTGTTCCAAGAAACCACATTCTTCTCCGGCATCTCATAAAACAACCTCTCTGCCTCCTTAATTCGTTTCAGCCTTATATACCCACTAACCAACGCAGTCCACGTAATCACATTCTTCTTAGCATCCACTCTGTCAAACAGCCTCCTAGCCTCCTCAACCATCCCACACTTGATATACCCTGTGATCACTGTCGTCCATGTCACCACGTCTTTGTTAGGCATCTCATCAAACACTTGGCGTGCTTCTCCAACCTTTCCATCCCTGCTTAGTTTGGTAATCAACCAGTTGGATTGTGCCACATTAAAATTGGCACTAAAATCTCTCTCAGGGGATGTGATTCTAGGTGTCACCTTGTAGTTCATGGAATGGTATAGACATTTGAGATTACATCGCATGGGAAGGATAGCCTGGGCATAACTCAAGAGAGGTAATCTAGTTCTGTTGCTAAGATGTATCATGGTAATTGGCACTTGTAACCGGGCAAACATTTGGAGCTCTCTTTGGCTCACAAGAATCAAACAAAACACCTCTTGTCTCAATTCTCATATTCACCAGTAGTCATCAGCTCGGGAAGCGATCAGATCTGAACATGTGGTTGAGAAGTAAAGGTGTTATTCTACCTGCTGTTAATAGTCCTCCTAAGTTCCACAGAGTTTCTATAATCCACCGGAAAAATAACCCCAACTGTACTGTTGTTTGCAGCTTCGAAGTATACCTACTGTTCACAAGAAAGGAGTTACGAATGTGGAAAATAAATCTAAAAACAAATGATTTTAGAGAAGACTATATTTTTACTTATAGTAAAAGATCACCAGAATTGAGTAAAAAAAAATGGCAACCCATTGATATCACCTCATTCTAATAGGCCCATGACCTACAATCACCAAAAGTTAAAAGTTTAAACTGAACTTGCTCAATCTTAATCAATCTTAACTCCTAATCATGTGCACTATTATAAATATAATTAGACATAAGATTATTGAACACTTGGTTCATAATAATCCATCAACACAATCCTAGAATTTAAGTTTGGTCAACTTCAATTAAAGAAACAAGAGAGTTCCACAAACCGTAAGCAATAACACTTTCTGAATTTGAGTGGCCATAGAAACAATAAACTAAAAATTAACAGGTTTAACCATTCTGATTAGTTGCTAGAAAATGTAATGATAATATCAAAAAATAAAACTTGACTATTCAGCTTTTATTAATTGGACCTGGATAGACAAAACCGCAACTCAGCTAAGTAATTGGCTCAACCACTCAGGTGGTGTTCATTTTTCAGCATTCAAGAAAGTGGCATAAAGCGTTAATAATTTTAAAACTTCATTTCCTTTCCTTTTACCTTATTTTATGTGGAATTAAACGACCTACATCCACAACTCCCTACAGTAAAAGCCCACCAAACATTCAGAATCATGTAAATGAACCCAATCACAGGAATCACTTGAG